AGCCAGCACGTCACGGCGACCAACTCCCCAGGGCCCTTGCCGTGTCACAGCTTCTTCAGCCACTCCAGGTTGGGCCCCTCCTTGTCGCAGGGGTGGGAGGGGATGTCGGGCATGTTGCCGTCGTCTCGCACGGGCACTAGACAGAGGCGGAGGCGGCTTAGGGGGAGGGATCCCTTGGGGGGGGCGGTAAGGGGGCTCCCCCAGGGGACAGTGCAGAGGTGAAGGGGTTAAAGCCATCCCTGCTCTGAGTCAGTGGGGGCTCACCCCCTCCCTGAGGGGTCAGAGCCCCACTGCCATTAGCCCAGCTGCTACCCGCTGCCTAAGGTGCACCCTGAAGCTGCAGCGCCCCCTTGTGGCCATGAGGATCAGCTGGGAGAACCAGCCAGCTGAGACTTGATCTGACTGCCCTGGTGTGGGGAAGAGGGGCCCACAGTAGGGGACGCTGTGCTGCAGGGAGTGGGGTGGGGCACTCTCCCCTGGCAGTCAGTGCTAGCCCCTACTGCCCCAGGGCAGCGCTAGGGGGTGCTGTAGGGCAGGGGCTCAGCAGGGTGCATGCTCCCCACCCCCGCAGTCAGTACTAGCCCCATTGCCCCGGCACAGCACTAGGGGGTGCTGTGCTGCAGGGAGTGGGGAGGGTCAGCAGGGGGCGCTCTCCCCGGCAGTCAGGGCAGGGCCCATGCCTCAGTGCAGCACCTGGCGCCTCTCCCAGCTAGCGAGGAGGCGGCCAGGCCCCACGGGGGCAGCATGGCCAGAAGCCCTCACCTGGGTACACGTAGGGCGTCGCGCGGTTGATCATGCCGGAGTACTTCGTGTAGGGGCTGAGCAGCGGCGCCACCGCGGCTGCAGGGAGAGAGACACGGAGAGCATCAGCGCAGCCCCGCAGACACCAGGGAGAGGGGGGGCTCAGCAGGGGGTGCTCTCCCCTGGCAGTCTGTGCCAGCCCCCTTGCAGCACTGGAGGGGGGGGGGCTGTGCCATAGGAGGGGGTTGGGGTCGCGACTCACCCAGGATGCCGATGGCGACGGAGACGGTGATGACGGGCTCCTTGGCCCAGGCGTTCTTCAGGAAGGCGCTGATCTCTGGGGGTGGGGGGAGAACGGAGCATGAAGGGTTAATGCCCCCCCAGCTGGGGCAGCCCCCCTCCCAGCACAGATGCCCCCCCATTCTCCCCCCAGCTGGGGCAGCCCCCCCCACGCAGATGCCCCCCCCGGCCGGGGCAGCGCAGGCCGGGCTCCCTGCCCCCATGAAGGAGACACTCACTGCTCAGCGCCGCCATCTTCCCTCCCTTCGCCCAGGAAGGAAACCCCGAGCCGGGCCGGGCAGCCTGGGACTTGTAGTGTGGGGCCGCTGGCCCCGCCCGCCTCCGGGCGGAGAACCCAGGAGTCCTGGCTCCCAGCCCCGCCCTCGCCTCCGTAACCAGTCGCCCGGCTCTGGGACGGGAGCCGGGACTCCTGGGTTCCCCCCCCAAAAAAACCTGAACCCCAATAACAGCTCTCGGGGGCATCTGCCCTCCAGACTCGGATCTGAGGGGTGGGGCATGGGGCGCGGGGAGGAGGAGCTGAGGCAGTTCTCAGGCCCCCCGCCCCGGTGGGAATGGGGGGCAGAAGTTTGGGGGGGCTGAGAGGGTCCCGGAGACATCCAGGCCCCATAGCAGTGGCTGCTGAGTACCCCTGCCAGCGGCCCCATTGCTCCACTCCCCAGAGGGAACCCCCCAGGGGACAATCCCCCCCCCCCATCACCCAGCTGCTTCCGCTGAGTCACCAGGGACTTTCAGAGCCGGTCTTATTGGAAACCTGGGGGGGGCACCCAGCACATGGCCCCGTGCTGGGGTGGCCAGGCTCCCTGCCCAGCGGCCTCAGTCCTCAGCATTTCAGAAGTGGGCACAGGACTTCTGGGTTCCCTTCCTGGCTCTGGGGTGGAGATGTCCCCTCTACCACTCTAACCAGTAGACCCCACTCCCCTCTCAGGGCCAAGGAGAGAACCCAGGAGTCCTGGCTCCCAGCCCCCCCTGCTCTAACTGCTAGACCCCACTCCCCTCCCAGGGCCAGGGAGAGAACCCAGGAGTCCTGGCTCCCAGCCGTCCCTGCTCTAACCACTAGACCACACTCCCCTCCCAGGGCTGGCTGCGTGGCAGGGCTAGTGCAAGGAAGCCTAAGGCTGGTCTTGGTAAGGCACAGTGCTGTGCTCAGGACACCTGGGTCCAATTCCTGGCTCTATCCTCCCCCCCATGGGCAAATCACTGAATTGCTCTGTGCCTCAGTTTCCCCATCTGTGAAATGGGGAGAACAGTCCTTCCTTTGTCTATTCACCTGTGAGCTCTAGGGAGTGCCCCTCACTTTGTGTCCATGCAGCGCCCAGCACGACAGGGCCTGATCTCAGTCGGGGCACGGGGTCTGTGCGGCGCGCAGTGCCATGGGACCCCCCCCTCTCAGGCTGGGGGGGGGGGGCCGGGGCGGGGCCCGGGCGGTGGGGGTGTGTGGGGGGGGGTGTCTGTGTCGGTGTGAGGGGGGGTCTGTGCAGCGCCCGGCGCGACGGTGCCCTAAGCTCAGTGTGTGTGTGTGTGTGTGGGGTCTGTGCAGCATCCGGCGCGGTGGGGCCCTAAGATCAGTGTGTGTGTGTGTGTGGGGGGGGGGGATTGTGCAGCGCTTGGCGCGACGGGGCCCCTGAGGTTGGTTGGCACTACTGTAATACATGTAGCAGAGGTGCAGCCCCCCCGCAGCATTTAGGCCCCCATCAGAATCGGAAGTGGAGGTTTTTCCATTGTGGCCGGTGGCTCATTTCCTAGAGCTGGGTTCATCCTGGTGCCTCCGTCCCAGTCCTGCCACTTCCCCATCGCTGGCTGCGCGGCTGCCCACCATGGCCGTGACTCTGCCAGTCCTGCTCCTGACTGTCGGTGAGTGTCGCTGCCTGCCCCACAGCTGGGAAGGGGGCTAGAGCAGGGGGGCTGGGAGCCAGGACTCCTGGGTTCTATCCCTGGCTGTCGGAAGGGAGTGGAGTCTAGTGGTTGGGGGCTGGGAGCCAGGACTCCTGGGTTCTATCCCCAGCTGTAGGAGGGGAGTGGGGTTGAGTGGTTACAGCAGAGGGGCTGGGAGCCAGGATTCTTGGGTTCTATTTCTGTCAGGGCAGATGAGGACTGTACAGGCCATCAAGAAGGGGGCCCATGGAGACCCCTCGGTGGGGTGGGGGAATGCAGGGAAGGGGCTCTAGGGGAGAGGGCAGGGTAAGGCACGGGCTGTGAGGGGTAGGGCCAAAAGAGGGGCTGTGTGTATGGGGGGCTCAGGTGGGGTGGGGGCGAAGGGGGGAAGGAAGGGGGGTGGGTTGGGGGCCACCCAGAGGCCTCCCCCCCCCCCCCCCGCTCTGTGTCTCCAGCCCTGCCGAAGCCGTCCCTCGTCTGGGACCGGGCCGCAGGTGCCGAGGGCGGGATCCGGCTGCGCTGCTCTGCCCCAGGGTCACTCGGGGGAGGCTGGTTCACCCTGTACCGGGACGGCACACCAGGCCCTGTGGCTGAGGAGCGGGCCCCGGCGCAGGGCTTGGAGGTGACATTCCTGTTGCCCAGCGTCGGCCCTGGCGAGCAGTACCGCTGCGGCTACTGGAACCGGGACGCGGCCGGGGGGCGGGTGGAGTCCCCGCTCAGCGACCCTGCTAACGTCACCAGCGGTGAGTCCTGAGGGTCTGGTCCCAGGGGCAGGGAGGGGGCGGAATACCAGGGAAGATGGGCCTGGGGATCGGATCCGGGGGGCAGGAGGGCATGGGATGCTGGGGTACATGGGCTCATGGGTCTGATCTGGGTGGAAGGGAGGAGATGGGATACCAGGATAGATGGGCCCATCGCTCTGATTTGGGGGGAAGGGAGGAGATGGGATACCGGGGTAGATGGGCCAGTGGCTCTGATTTGGGGGGAAGGGAAGGGACGGGATACCAGGGTAGATGGGCCCATGGCTCTGATCCTGGGGGGAAAGGAGGAGACGGGATACCAGGGTAGATGGGCCCATTGCTCTGATTTGGGTGGAAGGGAGGAGATGGGATACCGGGGTAGATGGGCCCATGGCTCTGATCCTGGGGGGAAGGGAGGTGACGGGATACCAGGGTAGATAGGCACGTCACTCTGATTTGGGGGAAAGGGAAGGGACGGGATACGGGGGTAGATGGGCCGGTGGCTCTGATTCGGGGGGGAAGGGAGGAGATGGGATACCGGGGTAGATGGGCCCGTGGGTCCAAGTCAGGTGGAAGGATACCGGACTCTCCCCATTGCCCCCCACAGCCCCCACCCCTGCTCGGGGTACCCAATAGCCCACCCCAACACTCTGCTTCCCCTGTGCCAGGCCCAGATCGCTACCCCAAGCCGTCCATCGCCGTCAGCCCTGGCACGGAGGTCTTGGCCGGCCAGACTTGGACGATCCGGTGCTGGGCTCCGTATGCGGGGATGAGCTTTGTGCTGTACCGGGCACGGGAGTTCTGGACTGAGCGGGCGCCTCGCGGAGACCCCCCCACGGCTGAGTTCCACCTGGGGAACGCCAGCGCCGCCAACGTGGGGAGATACACCTGCTACTATCACACCACCAGCGAGCCCTTCATCTGGTCCAACGCCAGCAACCCCCTGGAGCTCAGGGTCACAGGTGGGGGGAATGGGGCATGGGGCCTCTCCCCTCTGGGGGCGCCGGCTCCCATCTGGCCCCAGGACAGGGACTGGCTGGCTCAGGGGGGCAGGGAATGGGGCATGGGGCCTCTTCCCTCTAGGGGGTGCCAGCTTCCATCCGGCCCCAGGACAGGGACTG